GCAGGGTTTCAGCAAGACACAAGCATTTAAAGTCAACCTTACATGGAACCTGAGGAACTGATGAGTGAGCATTTCTGAGACATTTGTTTTTCTATTCTGAAAACTTTGTGGGGCAGAAACACATTTAGAAAGGCTCTCCTGATTTACAGGCCAGCAGTAATTGCATTGCAAATTCTAAAGGTTGGCTAACAAAGAGTGAAGGTCACAGACAGCAGCTCTCTTCAGCACCTTGCTGGGTTGGGTGTACATAAATACTGTAGTGCTGGTTCCTTAGTTAAATAATCTCAGGCTCTCAATAGGAAGATTTTGGTTTCTTTGATCCCAAGACACCATCAGAAGCACTGCCAAAGCCATCTAAAAAAGGAAAAAGAAAGCCCTGTCTACTTGTGTTTAATCTAATGGGAGTTTCTTACTCCAGTAGTCATTATGTGTTAGTGCTTCCGCCCTACATTTTCCATGGTGCTGCTGGCAGAATTGTCTTTTGGAGGAGATGTAAGACTAAACTCTTGAATGCTAGTGGTCATTAAAGATCCCATGGCATTTTTCACCAGAGTATGGTATCCTGACCGAACACCAACTAGCATAATTACAGTTAACCTGAATCCCTCTCCCCTGCAATTTCAATTGGACTTTATTGTTCACTCCTTGCCCCAAAATGCTGTTAAATTGTTGTACACTATAGAACAGTTACGTTCCTCCCTAGAGGTGGTTGCACTTCAATGGTTGATGAGGTGATGTAAACACTCTATTAAAATTATATGTAAATATTTTGTCAACAAACCACTTTGGGATTCATTATTATAAGACACAGTGACCTTCTACAATTCTATCACTTAAAAAAAACCTCAGTTGCTCATATTTCTTTGTTGTAAATAGACACCAAACGTTTTTGTTTTCCTTTGTTAGGTACATTCTATTTGGACATACGAGGTCCACTCAAAAAAAATTCCAACAATGTCCATAAATTAGTTAATCCTAGTTAGTTAATTCCATAGCAGCCTCACTACAGCTGTAACCTTGTCTGGCATGGAAATGTACTTTACAGAAAGATGGACATGATGTGAAACCTCCTTCCACTTCTACACATTGAGAAAGTTCAGATCTATATTGATGCTTGGAGCCCTGATTTTAGAAATGCTATTTAAAAAGGGGTTCTACCATGAAAAATGACTAAGAAACGAGGCCTTTCTGTAACCAGAGTCATAGGTCATGTAAGATTTAAAAAAAAGAAAAGGTAATAAACACTTAGTTAGTACTGCAGAAACAATACACCTCAGAGGGAGTGCCCTGGATTCGACTTTGGCTCATGTTAATTGTTAGCCAAATTCCATTTACAGAATATTTATTGCTGGTAATGCACAAACCAGAAAGAATTCTGTTTCACTTTCAAGATGGCACGTGGAGCTGGACACCATCAGAGACAGGATACTGGACTAGATATCTTGCGGTAAGAAGACAGACTCAAGACACCATCTTTACAAAGTCACTTTTCAGAAAGTACTTGCACAGTAAGCTCCCAATGACAAGTTAATCATCTACAGCAGGATCTTCAAAAGTGCTCAGGGTTGGCCTAGATCTGAATCCACTGAAACTTAATAAACTTCATTCAACGGGAGCAGAATCAGACCCATATTAAGTGCTTTTGAACATTCCACCTTTAAAAGTTAAATCAAAAAAACTTTTCCACATAAACTCCTTATCTGAAATATGTCCATTATGTTTAAAGCCAAATACAAATTCATATGAAACAGAATCTGCATATGATAAATTCAGCAACAGGAAAGGATGTGGTCAAAACTAGACTAACGTAGAAACTTTTTACTAAGAGCTTACTTAAATATAGAAAAAAAAAAAGAGCTAGATTAATATAACTGTTTTCTATTTCAGATTAAACGATATAAATGTCCTAATTCTATCCGTAGTGTTCCGTGACAAACACGCCACCCAAATGAAAAAGCATTTTCCTGAACTACATGAACACTTTTAAACTTTATATTTGAACATAGATAATTCAGCCCTTCTACGCAAGTGTGACACACTGACTAGAGTAAAGTTTCACATGATAAGGCTTTTTCATTTCTTCAGAGATGATGAAATGTGCCATCCCAGGGGGATACACAAACAATCCACGAATGTATCAGGGCAATTTTTTAAATCAATTTTTAAAGCTGGGTCAACTTTTGTGTGTGGTCAATTTCAAATTTAGGAAATAAAAATACAATCCCCCTCCCAACCTAGGGAAAAATATTGCAAGAGGAAAATCTTTTGCCATGCACCTGTTTTCCAACCAACTCTCTATCAATTATAAAGAAGACTGAAATGCTTTAATGCCTGTCAAACAACAGTAACGCACACTTTACCTTCAATAGGAAGACACATTTAATTCACCAATAATGAGGCAATCTGCATATTAGGAAACTGACCTGTCTATTCAAAAGTATTGATTTCCAGAATACATTTAAATGCAAGTCAACTCAATTACAGTAATTTAAGGTTGGATCTTGTAACACTACACAGTTTTCATTATCCCTTAAAAGATTACTTACATTTGCAACATGATTTTGTTCAGAAAGACACCATCTACCAGATCCATATACATAGTCAATTTGTCTTCATTTTCATTCCCTAATGGTCCAAATGTCTTCACCTGTCAGAAAAAATAGCAGATATTTTAATAATCCATCACAATTTTCTTACAGACTAACCTAAAACTGCACACGTCCCAAGACTCACTAGAAACCATCTCCAACCCCACCCCTGCCAAAGCAGCTACAAATTGAGTAGTTAAACAATCCCTGCACATCTTCCAAACACAAAAGGCTCATCTGTGAATAGGCTTTCTGACATAAGGGGATGGAAGCAGCCCTGCTGTAAAACTGTTGATGTCAACAGGGCTGAACTTGTTTACACCAGCACCGAATTTAAATCTAGATTGGATGTTTTCCTAACAGATCTGCTCTAGGAATTATTTTGGAGAAGGTCTCTGGCCTGTGTTACACAGGAGGTCACATGGGAGGATCACAATGGTGCCTTCCAGCCTTGGAATCTATGAATTTGACCAAAGCTTCTTCACACCCTTATTCTCGCTGCTTACACATTTTTTCCCTTCCTCCAGCAAGAACTGTGCACCTGTGTCATAAAAGCAAAGGACAGTGGTTCGTATCTGGGGACTCTGATCACCAACAAGGACAAATATTTTGGGCTGAGGGTGCCCAGGCCTATTTGACAACATTGTTCACATTTAAATTAAAAGATTGAGACAGATTCTATGAATTTGACATCAGCCACTGGCTGGGAAAGAAAGCTCCGTGCTGCCATTGTACCAGAGCAAGAGTTACACCATTCCGGATCGTTTCCCATCCCCCATTCCAAAGGTGGGGTTTGACGCTCCCCATTTCAGAGCCACACGGTTCTTTTTCAGATTTTGCAAATTATTCATCCCAGTTATTGATCTCACAACACTTATCTACAGTTCATGTGACAATCATCTCCTGGAAGGTATTTTTGCTTTGGGCCTAGCATTCAAGCCTCCAAACAGCAGGTAAGTAGCAGCAGAATAACTGGATTCCTGTTTGCAAGATGGTCCCCACTCCCTCCCAGGTCAAAGTCCCTTTTCTTCTGTGCCCCTATTGTTAGCAGCACCTACGAACAAACGGTGTTACAAGGGGAACAACCCGCTAGCTCTCAGAAAGGAAAGTTTCTTTTTGTTTTGCGCAGATCGGTTGGAGATCCCCGGACTGGTCGCAGTCACTTGCGGCAGCTTTATTTAAAGTTGAAAAATAGAGCTACTTTGTAACTGCACGATTCCTGGAGTAGACAGTTGATATTAATTGTTATTACTGAAAATAACCAGGACCCATAAACCTGTTCCCCTGCCAGCCGCCAAGGCGGGGATAATTCAGCCTGGCCCAGAGATCTCTCTGCATGAAGTTGCTTTTAAGAATCAAAAAGCGGTGCTGGTTTGTGTGCGCAGCGGAAGCGGGAGGCTAACCTGCCCCCAGCCCCGCGGCCAGGTGCTCCCTGAAGCGCGGGGGGAGCGGGCAGCCCCCTCCCCGGGACACAACACGTCCCAGAACCTGAAACAATGAGGCTCCACTTACCCAGGTCACCAAGGGGCTCTGCAGGAAGAGCTCCATGAGCTCGGAAATGGTCACATCCATGTTCCCGGGGCTCGGCTCACAAAGGCAGCGTGCGAAGGGCCGGCTCGCTCACTCGGGAGACAAAGGCGAGGAGCCCATGTTCCGCGGCGCCAGCGCCGGGCAGGAGTTGCTTAGCAGAGGAACAATGCGCGGTCCATCCCCCCTTCCCCGGAGGGCACACGGTGCGCGGGGCGCTGCCTCTGGCTGCGAGTCCGCTTCCCAGGCTGCCCCGCCAGGGATCGGAGCCCCCCGGCTGCAGGCCGGTCCCTCCGCCCGGGAAGGGCTCGCTAGTCACTCCCCCGGCAGGCTGCGGAGCCCCGGAGAGTCACTCCGCACAAACTCCGCGGCGGCAGGTTACTCAGCGCGGCAGAGGCGGATTCTTAAGCGTGCACTGGGGGGAATCAAAGGAAACTCACGAGCCTCGCTGCAGCATTGTCAGGGGCGTGCGGGGAAGTTGGGTGCATTAATAATAACAACAACAACAACAACAACAGAGCACGGCCCAGAATCTCCCCTGCGCTCGAGAGAGACCATGCAACTCGCAGCCCCTCATGGCAGAGCGGCCGATACAGCGCCCGTCGCTCCGCGACTACCTGCAGCAACTAGGAAAGTCCCTGCTCCCGCAATTAGACAGGCGGTGGGAGGGGGCGGTAAGGAGGAGCTTTGACAGGCATCGCCGGCTGCAAATGGGAGGCTGGAGGATGGACTGAACCTGACCAATGGGAGTTGCCGCTGTTAAGTCTGGTGCCTGCTTTTACTTCGGAGCTGAGCGGACGCAAGGAGGGGCGGCGGAGGTGGTGGGGCCAGGGGGCGCGCGCTGGTCACGGCTGCGGTGGGGGGCGGTGCATGCTGCCCCGCGGGCGATAGCTGGGACTCGGAGGGGTGGCGTGTGGTGGCCTGGCTGGTCTGCGCAGCCGGGGGAGAACCAGCGCACCGGGCTGCTCCTGGGGAGGGGTGATGCCCGCGGGGGAACCTGCCTGCAGCTGGCTCCTAGTGTGTTCCTCAGCGACTAACCCGCGGCGCTCCCTCAACGCAGGGTGTGGACGCACCGAAGGCAGGGGTACCGGCCAGGGGGTGCCCAGACAGCGGTAGTGAAAGCCGGTTCTTATTGGCCGAATATTGAACGGAGGGGATCTATAAACGTGCGAAGCTAAAAGACAACGCAGGAAGGCGGAGGGTGGGGGTGTACGGCGTGTGTGTGTGAGAGAAAATCCTCCTTTGACGCGCAGGATTATTTTTCGCCTATGTTAATGGCCATTGCTAGCATGACTCCACTACTCGCCTGCGTCTGTTTAAACATAAACTCATGCTCACGGCTTCCCAAAACCGAGGGAAGGCGGTTGGGTAAGTGTCCAGTTAGACACAGTAGCTAAATCCTTCCGTTTAACTTCGGAGCCCTGCTAATTTTGAAGTCAAGGGGGAGCGGGAAACTAGATTCACCTGCAGCACTTTCAGCAGTGACCCCTTTCGTTCAGTTCCACGTTCTCTCGTTTTCAGGGGGCTCTGCTTATTGTCTCCGACTTTCCCTCATCCCTTAACCAAAGGAGGGCCCTGGGGAAGCTGTGGGATTTATATGAGCCATGTCTGGTGTTAGTTCTCCTTCTAAATTCTCATAGCTGCATGCATCTCTCTTCCCCTTCTTTCATCAACTCAGCTGCCAAATCTGCACCACTTCTGCTCTGAGAGGAAGAGCAGCAGGTTGCTGGAGCCACCCAATGTTGATCCATACAGCGTCGGCTGAAAGACACTTTGAATATCCTATCTCGGCAGACCTCCAAAACTAGTCATTTCTGAAGACAGGTCTCCAAGCAGCACTGCTGAATACAACAGGTGGGATGGGGACTTCTTGTGTTGTTTTCAGCCGTACCCAAATTAGCTACAACTTAATTATCATAGAGATCAGCACTTCTATTTGTCCCCCTGTAAATGACCATAACTCTTATTCATCCACTCAGGTAAAGTTATTTGAAAAAAAAATAAACTAATAAACTACAATAAAAGTAGGGCCCTCTCTGCCCCCAAAGTGCAATGAATGGAATAGAAAAACATGAACTGAGGGGAAAGGGTGGCTGCAGAAACTCCATGGGGAATGGTGGTTTCTCTGTGTGGTCCCTAAAATTGGTGTACACTGTTGCATGAACCTGTCTTCTATCGTAGTCACAGAGGTTGAAAGGGAGGAGTGCGATTAAGAGACTGGAATGGGACTCTGGAGCAGACTTTTTGTGTAACCTTAGGAAAGTTACTTAGTTTCCCTGTGTTTGTTTCTGTGTATGTAAGAGGCTGATCCAAAGCCCACTGAAGTCAGTGAAAAGACTCTAATGGCTTTGGATCAGGCCCTAAATGGTGATGCGACTACTTACTGACAAAGGAATTGTGCAGTTAATTAACATTTATAAAGTGCTTTAGCTAGAAGGCAATATAAGTGCAAATGTATTATTATTAAATAAATTATCTTTTGAAGAAACAAAATGAAGACTCTGAAAGCTACTGATATGTGTTTCAGTGGGCTAGAACAAAGGAAACACAGTGGTGTTTTAAAATGTATTACTTTATATGGCAGAGATACTGAAGAAAGCAAGAAACAGAAGAGGGAAAAGGAGAAATTTTGATGAACAGTCAGGCAAGTGAGAAGCATAATTTACTGCATGTCTCTATTTTTGAAATAAATACAAAATTAGGTGGTTAATTATGGTTACACTCTGCTAGCTGTATTCTTTTACACTTACAAATATTTACTATTGTCAAAATAGAGTCTTGCAAAAAGGAAGTGGGAATTATTTTCTTTCAGACAGAATTTAGCCTATTTGAACTTTCAAAAAAAATCCAGAAAAAAGAAAAAGGAGTATTTGTGGCACCTTAGAGACTAACAAATTTATTTGAGCATAAGCTTTCGTGAGCTACAGCTCACTTCATCGGATGCTGTAGCTCACGAAAGCTTATGCTCAAATAAATTTATTAGTCTCTAAGGTGCCACAAGTCCTCTTTTTCTTCTTGCGGATACAGACTAATACAGCTGCTACTCTGAAATCTGCATCTGATGAAGTGAGCTGTAGCTCAAGAAAGCTTATGCTCGAATAAATTTGTTAGTCTCTAAGGTGCCACAAGTACTCCTTTTCCAGATAATTTAACATGCTGCATGATAGTCCTAACAAATTGCTAGTAGGCATTTTGATATGTTTAATTCGTATCTTGATAGTTACAATAAAATCTGTCCCATTCATTTGTTCTCAGAGTTGAAATGAAACCATTATATGCAAAATACTAGCATCTAGCTGGAGTTTGCTACATTTGTTTTTCACATATGTAGTATTTTATTTACCCTGTTTATCAGCCTCCCCCATGGCTTTCCTAGTACAACCTATATTTTTATTGTTTAGACACTAAGCTCTCTAGGTCAGAGACTGCTTTTATTTTTGGGTATTTTAGAGGGGCCAAGCACATAGGACAGAATACCTTAATAAAGATACCATTTAAATTATTTTTCTGCACATTTTCCTTGGACAAGGTGGGGAACATCAGCTGGTTTGTACAATATAGCTGCAGAGTTTGTAAAAAGTCTACTGCTAAATGATAGCAGTCAGTGTTAATTGTAGTGTCTTGTTCATGTCATTTAAGTGGGGTTTTAGTGTCTCATAATTATAGGCAGATAAGTAGGATCCTTGATCTTTAGGAGCCTGTTTCTTGTAAAAGTCAATGGCAAAAATCTCCTTGACATCAGTGGGAAAAAGATTAGGCTCCATGTGTGTGACAGAGATTTTTCTAATAGGACAGGAGGAAAGAAAACATTCTCTCCAAGTTGGAGAGAGTTGCTGAGACAACATAGGATTGATCATACTCATTCATCTGTCATTTAAAGGCTAGGTAAACTAAGTGAAAAATCACTTCCTGTTTGAACAACCTGTGCTTTGTGTACTTTATTAAATCAGCCCAGCTGGAGAATATGTTTATCTACTATTCCTCACTGTAAGAGGTGTAGTATCTTATTGCAAATCAAAATGGGCTCAAGCCTCAGAGTTCAGATCTGCATAATTCAGGACTATTCCTATCTAGGGGGGTTGGTTAGTAGACACACACTTGTAAAATCTGAACCACTGCTAAATTACCACAACCCCTAAACTCTTGGGTGCTTGGCAGACTTGGTCTATATGAATTGTCACTTGCCTACATCCCTGTATATCTGCTTCTCTAGCTTTCCTGAGAGAAGTGAACAGCGGTGTCTGAACAATAAACAAAAGACTCAGAAAACAGTGGGCCACATACCCAGTGTCTCAGGTACCTATGAACCTAACCCTGAGAAAGAATGGAGAAAAATGCAGAAGAGTGGTTAACAATTTTTCTACAAAAGTTTTAGAGGAGTGGACTGTTACAATTTAACTATCCATACTATTGACTGGTCTGTCCCTCTACTTCTTTGTGAATGTTCTCTAGGGGCTAGAGCAGGGGAACAGTGATCCGGAAGATCTAACTGGCTAAAGCATAGGGCCAGGAGTCTGGAACCTTGGATTCTATTTTCAGTTCTGCTACTGACGGGCTATGTGACCTTGAGGCAAGTTGTTTAATCTCTTTAAGCAGTAACTTCCCCATCTATAAAATGGGGATAATTACCTGGTTTTGTAAAGTGGTGTGAGATCCTCATCTGAAAGGCGCTATGTAAGTGTAAATATATCCTTACCTGTCATGACTTGAGTGCACTTTTCTCTGTTCTCACAGAGTCCTAAACTAGAGCAGTCTCTCACAAGATAGAATTTGGAAATTAGAAATATGGGATAATTGAAAGGAGCTGTGGAGAAAGGGTCATTATAGATCACAAATTATAAAATTAGTGTGTGCTTATCTAATGGCCCCAAGGGAATAAAAGCCTGATCCTGAAAGGTGCTGAGCACCTCAGCTCCCATTGCATTCAGTACTTGGCCCCTCACAGCAGCAGATGCTCTGGGTGAAATCTTGGCCTCAGTGAAATCAGTAGCAAAACTCCTATAAATGGGAGTTCAATGGGGCCAGGATTTCACCCCATGATTTCACTTCTCTGTGTAAGGAGATGAGTTCCATCTAGTGGATACAGGAAAGCACAGCATGCTTTTTAGTGGATACAGAAAGCTACAGCATCCTTAAATTAAAATGTCATAACCAAATAGCTATGCTGAATTCAAGATAAAAACGTGAGAGTAGTGTACATTTCAGATAAAAAACAAATCATTATAATATAAGCTTTGAAAAATGGATGCACTTTGAAAGTGTGATACAAAAATAAAAGGTATCATGAGCTTCCATTCTCTTTTCTTCCACTGTTTCTTGCCACTCACACACACACTTTAAAAAATATTACTCTAGTACCCAAAAGTGAGTGAGGTGTTTTAAAACCAGTTAAGAAGAAAGGTGCCTGCCTAAAGAGTCTAAATACAAAAATTAAAAAATGAAGGATAGAGAGAGTTATTTGGGATGAGTTTTTTGGGCCCATGACCTGGAAAATTTGTTGCTTTCCAACCTCTACCTCCTATCCTGGAATAGAGCCATGATCTTCAGGGTGGGGTTCTTAAGAGCACTCAGTTTTGGCTTAACTCTGCTCCTATTAAAGTCAAGGATAAAATTCCTGTTGACTTCAATGGGAGCAAAAATTAGGTCAACGCTGAGTGCTTTTGAAAATCCCATCCTCAGTGCGTAAAGGTAGTCTGGGAAACAGAGGCTCCCCCTGCTTTTGGAGTCCTTGGTCCAATATGATTTTTCCCCCTTCTCTCCTCCCTACTACTGATTCTGTCTCATGTTTTTGACCCAGCCCTCACCCATACACATACTGCTTTCCTATATTTACTCCCTGTTGGTTGTCTCTCTTACCATAGTATAATCAGCCCCTTTTCCTCTGTCCTATCTCACCCGAGCAAGAGCTGGCTTCCTAACACCTACCCACCTATCAAGAATTAAGTGCTTGTCCCTGTCCAAACCACTGACAGGGTCTGGTGCTGCTGCCGTCAAAAAGGCAGTGAAATAAATGTTGATCTGAATGTGATCAGAGCTAGGTCTAAGCATGAGTATTTGTATGGATAACAGCACTCTCAGCTTCAATCAGTAAGGAAAATACTGTGCACATTTGTATTATGTGATTTTTCTAGTAGTTTGTAACATTCATTTCTAAATCTTTTTGTCAAGATTTGGCAAAGAGCTCATTTCTCTCCATTACAAATGCTGAACTTCAGCCTCTAAACAAAAAACCTAGTTACCAGAGCACCAAAACCTACCAGAACAATGTCTTTAAGCAGCTAAGAGAATACAAGCCGTTAAAAATAGAGGCCATAATTATTGCCTCTATTTATTACTACTGCACACATTTCTAAAGCACCCACCACCATCACACGGTAGTTGTGGGACAGACCAACACAAACTACAGAAGAAGAAAATTTCTAAGTCCAAGCATTTTCAAATGTTCCTTTATGCTGACTGTATGCAGCATGATTCACCTCTCTCAGACTGTCCCCTGGCAACAGCTATAAGCATCAACAAAGCTACACCATTCATGTGTTGTCTGAAGTGTAAGGCCCTGAGCGATGGGAATAGCAGAATGTACAAGATTACAATACAGGACAGCTAAATTGATGGTAATGAAAGTAGGGTTTCTATTTCTGTCTGCCTAGGAGTGTCATTAAGAAACTTGCTTTTAAATATGACTCTGCTGTTCACAACCAAGATTCTTAGCAATGAAGAACATTTATTATAAATAAACCAGTGTGAAAAGAGCTGCTAGTGCAGCATTGACAGGAGATTCCCCATATCTTGCTGTCCAGTGTCCACAGCAATTTTTTATTACAGTCTTTTAATCTTTTTACAAGCTTGAAACATCTCTTTCCACAGCAAGTCTGCTGGCTCAGCCCTATAAGACAATTAAACTTTGGCCAACTATGGTTCCCCCCCCAAAATCTAGGGGATTAATGTTTCTTGGTTTTGGAAATCTAATTTTAAATCTGGTTTTGGGCACAAATGAAATGTTTGTTGTTCTCCATTTATTGCTGTCTAGCTCAGCGGTTTTCAAACTTTCATCACATGAATCATATTTTCATTGGTAGATACACATGCTCCAATTCACAACTTCATCAACCGCCCTCCTGCTCACTTATAATCACAGAATATCCCCTGGAGCAGTGGCAGCAATTGCTTACATGGAAAAGTGACACTTAGGAAGTATTCAATGTATGTTTAGTCATGTTTAACATAATTTAACAACTAGAAATAAGGAGAAACCAGTTCTGTGCAACTAGCTGGGGAAATTCTGACCTAGTGGGTGCTTTTCTGGTTTACCAATTTACCTAACAACTGACATTTTCCATTCAGGATGCCCAGGAATAGTACAGTATGGAGGGTTGTTGGATCGGGAGGAGGTGCATTAGCATTAGCAGAATTGTTTATGGAAGTTCAGGCACGGACTGGCTCCCTGCAGCCAGTTAGCACACCCTTCTATGAGCTTTCTGACCTAGCATTTTCCTTTCCATTGTAGAGCAGTCTCAGACAGATTCTACCGGAAGACATCTGAAGAATTTTGGGACAAGATTCAGACAACACTGAGGGTGTTATGTTTCAGTTTAGTCTCCTTTGAATGGAAGCATAAAAATAAATTGATATGGAAAAGACTTGTTAGACTATTCAAATGACTTCATGCCATTGCCAGATTGTTCTTTAGAGTACATTCTGTAAGGGACAAAGCTGGTTCCCCTCTTAACCATAGGCACAGAAGGTCCTAAATGTTGCAGAATCACCACAGTTCTACTCTGCAGGAAGATCTAACAGAAGAGTTTTAACATCCTCTGTCCACCACTGAGAAGCTAAATCCATAGCAGCATTGGGTATGTGAGAGACAGAAGGGGGTTGGCCTTAGGGTCCAGTACTGAGAAATTTCTTACCTGATAATTTTCTGTTAGAAGGCTCTCTCTTCATTCACCACTGATGGGTTAATGCCCCCCCGTGAAATTCGGAAGCAACCTAATGTTGTTGCTGGAGGCTCCAGGACTAAGCTCCACCCTGCAGTTTAGGCCACCACCAGATTTCTTCCACAGCTGTAGAAATACTCTAGCAACTGATTGTTAGCGTTAAGACAACTTGATATAATGTATCAATTAACCTTGAACCTTACGCATGTAATTGTTTTCTTTTAGGTAAAAATTTCAATTTGTGTTCTAATCATTTACCAGACTATCAGGGTGGGTTGAATTAGGAGAAAAGCTGTGCAACAGAAAATTATCAGATAAGAAATATTACATTGTGTTGCACAGTATCTCTCCTCAGTTGTCACTAATGGGAAGCAGAGAAAACATAGCAGTAGTGGATGAAATGATAAGCAGAGTTTTAAGTGGTATAATAGAATAATAGGCAGTAATGAAAGTTCCCCCCATATAAGGCAAGGAATTGTGGGAACCAACCCAGTAGCACCTTTCTACTGAAGGAGGCCTCTGCAGAGAAATGGAAACCTACTTTTCCTCAGTGCCAGTAGGGGGCTTCTGTGTATAGCTTCCTAGATGCTCAACATGCCAGCGGATACAGGACTTTTATATCTTGCCTGTAGCAACTCTGAGACCCTAAGGCTTTGGCATTTTGGGTAGAATAAGATGAGCAGGGTGCTATTGGTGTGTGAATGCCACATACTTGAGCTATATCTTTATAACATTAGGAATGCCTATTTATGACACAGCTTGCCAAAGGAGAGCTAAGGGTTAGACCAAATGATGGGAGAACTGTTTCCCAGGAATTACGAGAAAGGAACTTATAGCTCCAGAAACTTTTCTGTTCAAGGTAAGAATGACTTTTTCCTCATGACAATAATAATATGGGTCTTGTAAAAACAGGTGATCTGATTCTAACACCTGCCTTTCAGAGATAATGGCAACTAGAAAGGTCAGCCACAGGCTTGTCTAACCTGTCTTGCTAATTAATCTTGGCGTCTGATGATATTCTAATGAAGAGTCTGATGTGATAGGACTGGTAACCACATTTCTAATGGGGCTGGGTTGTAAGATTCCCATCAGCCATTCTGGAGAAACTGTAATATAGCTGAGATTACCAGTACTTTGCAATTCTTATGATTACAATAGCATCTAGAAGTCAGTGCCTGAAAAGAGCTTTCTTTTTCCCCATGCACCAGACATGTAAATCTGATCAGATCAATGACTCATTTCCTAGTTGTGTTCTCTCTGGATACCAAAAGGTATCCATGTGGCTAATGGTGAATCAGTTCTGAGCTACACTTCTCTTCTGATACATTTAACAGCTTGGAAAAGTGTTCTAGGCGTCGATGAAGGAGTCACTGCTTCAGCGCATCTGGTTTTTTCTGCAGGTGCATCATGGGTTCCATGGCTAAACAGACTTACCTTACATATGAAAAATCTTTGCTCTGAATTGCTGTAATGAATCTTTGTTTGTGTCCTCACTCTTATGGCCTATTAGGGTATTTTGAAAGGAAGTCCCCTTCTGAAGGTGTGACTGTCAATGATGGAGGTACTGCTGCACCAACCTTAGGCTCCCAAGACTTATGACATTTATTTGTTTTTATATAACACATTAATTTAAAATTGGTTTTAAACAGAAGTGCTCTTTTGGAACTGCTGTAAGGAGGTAAGGGGAAAGGTCTGAGGTGGGAAGTGACTGAGCTCTGCTTGGGAGTAGTGGCTAACCAGGAGCCACCGAGAAGCTGGATGCAGAGGCTGCCTGGCAAATGAAGAGGTACATAGAAACTGGGTGCAGAAAGGGTTCCCCAGGAACCAGAGGCAAGGTTGTGTGTGCAACAAGTTGAGACTGCTGCACATTACAGGTGGGTGCAGGTCTGTGTGGGTCTTATGGGAGAGCAGCAGGAAGCCAGTGCAGAGGGGTCCCACTGAGAGACACTAACTGAGACTGGCCTGAAAACCCACAAGCTCCTATCTGCTTGACTAGAGCCTGGACTGGAAAGACACCCCAGCCAGTAGGCCTGAAGACTCCCAGTTCTCAACTGGACTTACCCAGGGACTCAAAGTTTTACCACTATTGGTAACTGTTTAAGCCTCTGTACGTAGGGTATTTGCACCCTTTCCCTTTCCTCCCAGCCCTAGTAAAATACCCTTTCCCTTAACCGTGTGTCTAAGGTCTGGTTTACACTAGGAAGTTAGGTTGGTATAACTATGTTGTTCAGGGATGTGAAAAATCCACAGCCCCTGAGCAGCGTGGTTTTAAGCTGACCTAAGCCCGTGTAGCCAGCACTAGGTCGATGGGAGAATTCTCCCTTTGACACAGCCTGCGCCTCTTGGGGAGTGTATTACCTACACCAACGAGAGAATCCCTCCTGTTGGCATAGGTAGTGTCTTCGCTGGAGCGCTACAGCTGTAACAATGGTGTAGACAAGCCGAGTGGTTACTGGGATGCACCTGCGATAGTATCTACTACGCTTGCCTACAAGTACACCTGATAAGCTACAGGCACCCTGGGGCTTTGGTGTACTCCATTATTGAGTGGCCCAATAGGAAGATACCTTGTTAGAGATCTTGCAAGGCCTTGGCTTCCTGGTCTGGAAAAGTCCTGCGGGTTTGTGTTTTTTTTTATGGGTGGGCGGGCTTTGGTTGTGTGCATGTATGTATGGTCCTTCCCCTGGGTGTTTACAGGGGGAAGGTAGAAGGCTATTCATCTTGGCATGGGGCTCACCCAAATGATGAGGAGGACTGATATACATACCTCAGTGGTGGGAGCATAGGCACCAACTTTCCCCAACACTGGTGGGTGCTTGTGCCCCCCAGCCCCTGGCCCTGCCCCAACTCCACCCTTTCCTCACCCCTGCCCCGCCCCAACTCCGCCCCCTCCCTGCCCCTATTGGACCCATTCCCCAAATCCCTGCTCCGGCTCCGCCTCTTCCCTGAGTCCACTGCGTTCCCCCTCCTCCCCAGAGCTTGCTGTGCAAATCAGCTGTTTTGCGGTGGAAGTGCTGGGAGCCAGGGGGAAAAAGCGGGCATGCGGTGCACCCAGGGGAGGAGGCAGAGCGGAGACGGAGGTGAGCTGGGATGGGGGGTGAGACGGGGAGCTCCCTGTGGGTACTCCAGTCCTGGAGCACCCACGGCGTCAGTGCCTATGGGTGGGAGTAGTTTGCTAGGTGTCCCCAGAACTCTGAAAGGCTGCCTGTCTGCTTCCCCAGGTTGGCTAGCATGCAAATATATACTGTAGGAGTGTCCGAATAGCACTCCGGGCTCCGCTCAGTAAATCAGGATCACTAAGAACATGGGAAGGGATTTCTCACTTACCGTAATCCCATGAAGGTGCAGTTTCGTGCAGAGTGGAATCCTCATTGTGACCCTGGCAAACCAGGTGCCAGCTTATGCCAAGGTCCCCAGGCCTCAATTAAACATTGACAAATATAGAGCTGGAACCAGTCTGGTTCTTCTGAGACCTGGTCTACATTACAGAGTTAGGTCAACACAAGGCAGCTTATGCTATTAGCTTCTACACTAAAATGTCAGTCCTGCTGACGTAAGTTGCCCACTGTACCGAGTTAATAACTTCACCTCCATGAAAGGCAAAGCACTTAAGTCAATGTAGTTAGGTAGACACTTACAACGGCTATTGCTGCCCAAGGCTGACAGCTGGAGCCCTGACACTACCTCCTGGTGAGGGGATTGACCAGGGTGGGAAAAAGCCTGAACCCAGGCTCCCTCCCTGTGGGGGACTGGGGAGGAGGAGAGCCCGGGCAGCAGGGCTCCAGCTGTCAGCCCCAGGCTGTGGGGCTCCAGTTTACAGTGGACTGATAGATCTGATGATTGCAGCACTTAGTGAAACATGTCCTCTTTACTCCTCTTTGGCCTCCTTATCTGATGGAGGCCATCCACCTGTGTGTAGGAGCTGGCCCTCCAGGGCACATCCAGAAGCAAAAGAAACAATACACAGAGTCAGTATTGTGGGTGTACTCACAGTCTTGAATCATAAAAGTTATGTAAGCAGTGTCAGGATGAGCTCCACCCTGACATCTGGTGGTGAAGTGTGGCAAGTTGTGGAAAAGAACTTCAGGGGCTGATCTCATTTGCATAGGCACACCCACCCTGCCTAGAATGAGGCCATAGCTGCCCAAATGGCCACTTTGGCTGCTGTGGGATCCCCAGTGTCTCTGTTATTGGGGCAGGAAGAATAAATTGTTATTATCCTGATTATGGGAACTGTGCTTGGAACTGTACTTGGCCTTTTGTTATGATGGAGGGACTCACCATCAACTAAGTAGCACTCGCTAGGCAAGGGTCATGGGTTTTAAAACTCTGTGAATTGAAAGAGGCTGGGGACAAGTATTAATACTTGGTGGCATGGGCCCCTTGGTGAGGGCCTTACATGCTAATTGCACTTCCTCCTGTCTCCACTGTGGAATATCAGAGCTAATTTTGATTCCATTAGGAGTCTAGTTACAGGCTGCTGAGCTCACTTTGGGCTAATGGTGCACCAGCCCTGAGGCTCCCCTGCTACAAGCTGAATTCACCAAAGGGCTGAACTGACTAAGAGCTGAAATCACTGAGCATTGTGTTAAATAGTGGGGGAGCCTGACAATATATTGTGGAGCAGTTTGCGGGAGGGCTGGAGTGCCTTGTGGACAGGCTGGTGGAGCAGTTTGTAGGATGGTGGGAGCTGCTTGTGGGCCGTGGAGCGGAGCGAAGGAGTTCGTGGGGCGGCTGGCGGAGCGAAGCGAAGGCCTATGGAGCGGTCAGCTTCAGATCACGTAAGGTGCCTCTTACCCCCGTCCCATCTCCACCTAGGTTGGGAGGTAAAGCTCCGCAGATAAACTTTCGAACTCTGGGGCTGCCCTGACCAGGGACAGAGACTTTTGGGTCATTGGACTTTTGGGACTTTGGGTGATTTGGGGTTGCTGGACTCAAGAACCAAAGGGAAAGGGGCATGTCCCAATTTGCTTGGGGTGGGTTTTTTTGCTCATGGGTTGTGTTATGAATCCTGTTGGTGGTGTTTCCCCAACATAATGCCACATTGTTTCTCTGTGTTATTAAAAGGCTTTTTGCTACACTCAGACTATGTGCTTGCGAGAGGGGAAGTATTGCCTCTTGGAGGCGCCCAGCAGGGGTGGTATATATTTGTCCCAGGTCACTGGGTGGGGGCTCGAGCCGGTTTGCATTGTGTTATTGGAATGGATCCCCTAGATATTGAACCCGGCCCTTGTTGCTGCCAACTCTGACGGGCAGAAGGGTTACAGTTACATACACCTCTTTCTCACTTTCCCTTGGCAAACATGCAGCATGGCCAGAGCACTAAACATGGTGAGTTCGGCCCGGGGGGTGGTTGTGGAAGATGGGACAAAGGGTCTGGGTTTCCAGAAGGGGATCAGTATAGGCACGTGGGGATACTAATACTGGCACCTTTTTTCACAGGTGGAAGCGATCGAAGCTGAAATCCCACTACTGCAGGTAACCGAAGATAAAAGGGTGCATCTCTTGCATGTGTGAGGTTTCAGACCAGGTCTGGATTCTGCTCACCTGTGTGCTGCTTTGGTGCCTCCAGAAGTAGCTGCTGATCAGCACAACAAAGTTTCCCGTAATAGGGGAAGAAACAAAGCAGCTCTGCCAAGGAAGCTTTGGCAGAGAGTTGCACAGTATCTGCAGGAAAGTTTCCTACCGCTCTCTATGGAGGATTCCTGGGAGATCTCAGTGTGCATTAACAAACTTTTCTGTAGCCCCTGCCCCCGTGTAGCCGCACAGGGGAATGCGAAGCAGATGCAAACAGTACCTAGTGTTGTTAATTTTGATCCCTTCTCTCACGTGCACCATGTAACAAAATAAAGGATGCCTCTACCTTATGTAACTGCACTATCAGAAAAAAAAAGAGAGTACTTACCAGAGCTCCACTCTCTTGCTTCAGACACACTAGAGCCAGACTGCTAGGACTGGCCAGACCCCTCCAGATACAAAAGAGGTCCTGGCTCACCACACCACCAGACAAGCCTGGTGCCTGTCCCACATCCTTCTCCAACTCGACCTCCTTGTCCAGCACTTCGCCCTTGGGCTTGACTTCCTGGGCACTGCCTCCAGTCCCACCCCAAAGTATCCACAGGGCTCTGGCAGCAGAGGTATACCAGCTTCTACTCCTTGTAGAAGCTGCATGTTTTCTGCACTACACCAGTGACAGTTGGCCTCCCTTGCCTTCTGGTTCACCTGCCTCAGCTCCTTGATCTTGGCATGGTACTGCTGCGTGTCCCTTCTGTGCCCTTCTCAGCCATCTGAACTATCCTATGGCTCAGAGCTGCGACTGCACAGCCTCCTCTCCCCACAGAGCCAACAGATCCAGCAACTCTGCTGTACTCCACACAGGAGCCTATTTGTTGCAGAAAGCCAGCATAATTAGCTGGGAAGATGCAATGTGAGCTGTCCACCCCAAGCAAACAGGAAATAGAATTGCAAAAATTCCTGAGGCGTTAAAGGGGGAAGGGTGGATGCCTGTGTACTTGGTGGCAGGGCAGCAGAGAAGAAACGGCTTACCATAGTGGTCATGATGGGCATTGTGGAACACCTCCTTGAGGCCACTTAGGGCGACATAAGCAAGCACAGTGTCTACACTTGTACTGAGTCACTAACTTTTTCGCAAAAGCCTCCATGCCGCTCATTGAGGTGGTTTTATTATGTTGGCATAGCAGGAGAGTTAAATCAGCAGAAGCTCTGTTGTGTGTACACTTCAACTGTTTTGTCAATGAAACCTGACTTTTGTCAACAAAACTGTGTAGTGCAGACATGCCCATAGTGTTAATATTAAAATAGGTATTACAATTATAAAAATGTTTGTAAGTTGCTACCTGCATCTCACTTATAATATCTGTATCCCATATTGTAAGGTAATATTTGAGCATTTGCATTGTATGTCTCTGTAACTATGTAAATCACCAGACAGAAGAAAAGCAGCAACTAATGTGAAATACTAGTCTCCAACAGATGATGGTATGACCTGCATGACAAAAAAGGCCCATTGACACCAGACAAAATTTGTGGATCAGAGAATAGGACTTTGTTGATTGCTCTCTCTCTTCCCTCCCACTCCCTCTCCCGTGATGAGATGTGCAAGTGAATTCCTCCCATCAGCTAAGTTTGCAACTCAAAACAGATGGGGTGGGAGGAGGGGAATTAATATAAAGCCCTAACAAAGAGGAACTGTATCTCAGTGCTGCTCGGACTCTCAAGGGCAAGGTTTTCTACGCATAAGCAAGAGATCTCCCGTGTTTAGCCTGGGTTAGCTCTGAAGGACATATAGACCTAGCTTGTTATAGAATTTGCTACTACTTCTTCTTGAAAGTTAAGATTGGAACTCATGTGCATGTTTGTATGGTTGCCTACTTTCATCTTGTAAATAATACTCATTTCCTTTGCCGACATAATAAATGTTTACACAGTTCATTACAGGATTGACTACAAGGGTTGTTTTCAGGGTGAGATCTATGGTGCAACTGACCTGGAGTAAATGACTGGGCCTTTGGGACTGGCAGTAATCTGACTATTGCTGTGATGTTTGGTGTAAGAGACCAGCTATCCCAAAGGTAAGCTTACCTGAGGGCAAGACAGATCTGAGTAACCAAGGGGACTGTCTATGACTCCATGTTAAGGCTGTCACAGTGCCTGAGGAGTGAACACTTGATAACTAGTTGGTGAAATCTAAGCATAGAACTCAACCAATTTGAGGCTTGTGCCCTGTTTCCTAAGAGTCTGCCTTGAGGTTGGTACCCACACTCTTGAGCCACTGCAGGACAGCTTGACGCTCATATCCTCTTAATGGTCACAGTCTGCCTGAAAGTCTCCTAAGGCTTAAATGTGGAACCAGCCTGTGGAGTGGGGAGGGATGGGGAGAGACTTTTTCCCATCTTTCAGACTCCGAGCCCCTTTCCCTGGCAGAGCAGGGTTTATGGCTGATGCTCAAAATGCACAGTTCCCATTCCACAGCTGCCTGACAGAGCCCTTTTCCCTGGCAGAGTGCCAGGTAGGCACAATTCCCATTAGCTGCAGCCGTAGACAGGGCTGCACAGGAGGAACAGGGGTATCTGCTGAGCCCAGACATGCTGCAGGCTGAGGTACAGGCAGTGAGCCTGCAGAGCACTGAGGGACCATTTAGGGGAAAAACTCCCAGAAAACACTCCCTCTGGGGTTGGGGAGGAGGGGAAGGGGTTTATTCCCTGATTTTCACCCCACTGCTTCAAATGCAATAAGTAGTCAACATTCTTTGGTATCAGAGTCCAGACTATGTTGGACTGCCCATACCAAGAAGAAGATATTTTACTGACAGATATTTTCCTGCCTGGATTTCTTGGACTTCTAGGGAAGCCAACAACAGCCTTGTCATCAGATGCAGTGACTTGACTTTGGGTCTGGATGGAGCATTTAGCTGTGGTGATGTGAAAATCAGGTCCAGGCAGTCTGGGAGCTGATTTAGAAACTGAATAGACATCTGTAACAAGTTTGTCACCCAAAACTGCCATGGCCAGTAGGGAGCTACAACAAAGATCATAGCTTTGTCCCTAGTTTAGACTAGATAGAAATGTGGGGCAGAACAGTTTTCTTCATCATCAACAAATATTTAATAGTGTGCTCTTCAATCTAGAAGAGAAAGGTATAACACAATCCAACAGCTGGAAAGTGAAGTTAGACAAATTCAGACCAGAAATAAGGCGTAAAATTTTAACTATGAGTAATTAACCATTGGAATAATTTACCAAGGGTCGTAGTGGAGTCTCCATTACTGACCATTTTAAAATCAAGATTGGATGTTTTTCTAAAAGATATGCTCTAGGAATTATTTTGGGGACATTCTAGGCATGATGTTTGTTATACAGGAGGTCTAACTAGATGATTGCGATGGTCTCTTTGGCCATGAAATCTATAAATCATCTTCATCCTGTGGCCCACTTTCTATGAGAGATCTTATGGACCCATATCCCCTCACAATTTCTTTGTTCTGAAAATGTTTCATTTTAAAGTTTTCCATGAAAAGTGGAATGAAAATGGTATGAGAACCACTAAGCAAGATCACTTTTCCATTCCAAACCTGGTTATATAACATGCTATGGCCCCTTTAGATACGCATGTCTAACTGGGCCAGAATTGTTAGTTAAAAAGAAGTGTAAGGTACACACGATATGACAGAAATATCCCTTTGCACTTAAATGGTCTTCTAGCTTCACATAAAATGGACAGTTTTAAAAACAGTTATTACTCTACAATTCAGACAATTTTGTTAGCTTGTGGATTGTATTAACTGTTAATTTTAAACTTAACTAAATCATTCAAGAACTGATGACAAGATTGTAAGCTGTTTGGGTCCGAAGAGTCTTTTTTGTTCTGTGTTTTTAGAGCACCTAGTTTAATGGTGTCCTGGTTCATGGCTAGAGCTCCTATGTAATACAAATAAACAAACTATACTGTTATAGGTTTCTTTGCTGCTAATGCTCTCTGATGCATCTAAGTTGCAACAGTCAAGTTTCAGAAATAAAGCCACAACCATGATGCATAATTATCCCTCTGCCAGTTTTAGTTTCATCAGCATTCTGTTTTATACTGCTTTTCAAAAAGCCAGTTCCCCTCCACCCCAATATTTTGCCAGCTTGTTCCCATGCCGAAGTGTTTTTGCACACATCTCCCAGCACAGAGTAAAGGAGACTAACTACTGATGTTCAGCAGTGCCTTACACCAGTGGCTTTCAATCTGCAGGTCATGACCCAGTACTGGGTCGCGGAATGTAAGGCACTGGGTTGCGGTGGCTCTGGTCATCACCACCGACTGGTGGCCATTAAAAGTCCTGTCAGTGGTGCTGCCCAGCTAATACAGGCTAGTCTTTACCTGTTCTGACACCACGTTGGGCCCCACAAGTGGCCAGCAGCAGGTCCGGCTCCTAGGCAGGGGGCCACAGGGCTCCACGCGCTGCCCCCGCCCCAAGCACTGGCTCCGCACTCCCACTGTCCGGTTTCTGGCCAATGGGAGCTGCGGGAGGTGGTGGCTGCAGGTGGGAGCTGCGGGCCTCTGCCTAGGAGCCGGACCTGCTGCTGGCTGCTTCCGGGGTGCAGCGCAGTCCAAGGTGCCCAGACCGACAGGAAGCCTGCCTTAGGAAGCCCGCTGCGCCACTGACTGGGAGCTGCCCGAGGTAAGCCCGTGCCCCAACCCCACACCCCAATCCACTGCCATGAGCCCCTTCCTGCATGCCAAACCCCTCATCCTCAGCCCCGCCTCAGAGCCCCTTCTGCATCCCAACCCCTTCTGCCCCAGCCCTGAGCCCCCTCCTGTACTCCAAACCCCTCATCCCCGGCCCCACCCCATAGCCTGCACACCCAGCTCTGACCCCCTCCTGCAACCCAATCCCCTGCCCCAGCCCAGAGCCCCCTCCCACCTCTGAACCCCTCATTCCCAGCCCCACCCCACAGCCCTCACCCCTGTACTCCAACCCTCTGCCCCAGCCCTGAGCCCCTCCCACACCCCAAACCCCTCATCCCCAGCTCCGTTGGGTCACAGGCATCAATTTTCTTCAACTGGGTTGCCAGAAAAAAAGTTTGAAAACCACTGTCTTAGACTGCTGCTCCCCCTATGTACATGTCTCTCCTACATCCAGTGCCACACCTCCAGCTTGGCATGAGGCATGTATGAACCATGCAAATATGTGGAGTGGAATAGCAGAAATGGTTACTTACTGTAACTGCTTCTTCTTTGAGTAGATGCAAGTGTGTATTCCACTTAAGTGCATGTGTGGGCAGCACACCGGAGCTAGAGAATTTTGCCTCGCATTACCCTTGGAGGTGTGGTGCTCATGCCTCATGGCCATATAGCTAAGGGAGGAGCTATTAGGTGGCGCCGCCCTGGCCCCCCCTCAGTCCCTTCACACTGAATGCCTGAAGACTAGACTTCAATGAAGAGGGAGGGTCGTAAAATACACGTCTGCATCTTGAAGAACCATTACAGTAAGTAACCATTTCTTCTTCGAGTAGATGCAGCTGTGTAGTCCACATGGATGACTCACTAGCTATACCCAGGAGTGTCTGGCTCAGAGTCTATTTAAACAAATATTGCAGGACTAATTCCCCAAAATTTTCATCTGTTCTGGATGCAGCAGTAACCAGTGACCATGTAGCACCCCTGCTAATATCCAATATTGAGACCTCACTTGAGAAACACTATTGACATAGCTTGCACTCGCATAGAATTGAGCTCACACCCATAGAGGAGATGTAGCCAAAGCTGTTTCGTATGCAGTCTTGAAGCAGGAAGTTACCCACTTAGAGATAGTCTGTGAGAAGACTGCTTGTTCCTTCATATGGCCTGCATGTGATACAAACAAACAAGGCAAAGCCTGAAAGGGTTTAGTCCTGTCCAGATAAAAGGCCAGACATTATCGGACATCCAGCACAAGAAGACGCTGCCCCTCTGGAGATGAATGTGGCTTGGTGGGGGAAGAGGAGGACACAGACAAACATACTGCCTGGTTTAAATGAAACTGAGAAACCACTTTCGGCACACAGTTCAGGTGCTGCTGCAACGTCACTTTGTCTTTGGAGAAGTGTGTGTAAGGAGGCTCTGCCATCAAAACCTGCAACAATCTCACTTTCCTCACAGATGTTATCGCCATGAGGAATGCAGTTTGACACATGAGAGGAAAAAGACAAGATGCCAGAGGCTTGAACAGGTCCCATGAAAGCCATTAAGACAAGCATTAAGATCAATGTCACCATGGCATTGGAAAATAGTGATAATCCATGAGGGTGGATGAAAGGCTGAGATCGCTGCTAGATGCGCCCTCAATGAGCTAAGTGTAAGACCCGATGACTGAAGATGCAACAAATACTTCAAGAGGTCTTGGATACCAGCCAGCATCATCTGAACTCAATGGGCCAACGACCACTTTGACCCATAGGCAACCCTGGTAGAGAGTTTTATCCTACTTGTAGGACCTGTCAAACAGCTGCTGAACATAGCTCTTCCTCCTCATTCAACCACAGAGCAGCCATGCTGTGAGATGCAGGGAGCTGAGCGAGGGATATAAAGTATGACCATGATTCTGAGTAAGCAGGTTAGGATGGAGAGGAAGGGATATGGGAGGCTGAATCGTTAGTGCAAGCTTGGAAAGCCAACACTGCCACGGCCATGCTGGGGCAATGAGGATGAGCTTGGACTGATCTGCTTTCAGCTTGAGGATGACCTGCGGAATGATCAGGCTTGGAGGAAAATCATACAGGGAACTGATTGCCAGCTGAGGTCAAAGGAGTCAGTCAGGGAACCTAGACTGGGGCCCCCCTTGAGAGCAGAACAGATGGCATTTCCTATTGTCCCTTGTAGCGAACAGGTCAATTGTCGGGATGCCCCACGCTGCAAAGATGACTCAGAACCCTGAACTTCAGAGACCACTCGTGGTGCAGGGCAAAATTCCTGA